GGAAGCCATAAGTGCACACACCTCTGTTCTTCTGATGTTCCTGTTTCCTAATGCATTAAGGAAAAAATACCTGATTTACTTACCAGTTAATAATTCAAGATGTTCACCAACAGTTCTTAGCCCATTATATCCAAAGCACTTTTTATCCACTGCACTAGTTGTTATTTTTGTTCTATTTTTAATAACTTCCTTTTCCAAATGGGGAGGATGATATATTTTTTTTAACTGTACAAAATTTTATCCTCCCCAGAATTTCTAAAACACTCTGCAAATTTCCTCAGGCAGCAACTTCCATCTATTTCACAAAGCATTATGATGATGCTGCAGGAACTTGAAATTTTGTTTAATACAGAAATATGTAAATAATTCAGTAACAGCTACCTGAAAAAAAGGAAGACTGCAAGACATTTACGACAAACTACTTTATAGATCTAGATATAATTCCAATTGGTAGAAATGTAAGTAAGATATGACCCAGACATTATTGAAGTTATTAAGGCATTCCACTGGAAAAACCGAGGCATCAGAGAGAAAAATGACTTGCACAAGATATGACAGCAGATACAGAAATTGAACTCCTAATTGTCATTTTAGGACTCTATTTCTAAATAATGCACCATTCTCAGAGATTATTTGACTTTCATAGGGTCTGGGACTTTTGGAGGATGGCTAATGTCATAGAGGTTTGGGAGAAATCTTTTCAGTTAAACCTTCCTATTTTCTCTGCAGGAAGACCTCACATGTTTCAAAAAATCATGCAAATAGAACGATATTATAAATATTTTTTCATAGCAAAAATAGTGTCACAAACTATAGAATCTTCCCACCATGACTGAACACATGTAAACTCAAAATCAAGATTGTAAATCCTCAGTATTTTTTTTGTAAACCTCTTTTTGAAAATGTTACACATACGCTTGTGGTTACAGTTATTTTTAGAAGTCAGAAATAGCCAATAACGGACAGTATCATGGCTTCACAAGCTCTTCTTTTCTTCCATTAGGATTTATAGTCTGACTTCAATAAATATAAATAAATATTTATTTTTAATACTAATTTTGGTTAATTAGAGCTTTTTTCATTTTATATCAGAACAATAACATGCATAAAAATACTAGAGCACTGGATAATGCTCTAGTAACTGCTCATAACCCTTCATGGATTGGCTTTGACCAAACCTATGCCATTTGAAGTTCCCATTTTTCAAATATGCTTACTTATTTCTGTCCAGAATTGCATTTTCAAGCAGTCAACTCTCCTAAAATAAGACTGTAACACACAACATCTGGAAATCTTGTCAAAACTTTTTTAGTAGTATGACAGGAAGAGGACAGATAACTGCAAAAGGACAAAGTCTGGAGTTTTACAACTGAAAGTAGTGTGTGGTATGAGGAAGATTTTATTGTAGCTGGGCTAGATTGCTTTTTCTTAGTTTCACAAATGACACACTCTGGCTAAACCACAAGTACTCCTGTAGTCATGTTCCTACCCCTCATGATGCATGCTTGCACAGTACAGAACCTGTAGAAAATATGAGCTAACAATAGAATCACTCATACAGAATCACTCCTCTCCTGATGTCTACTTACCTACTAAACTACATATTTGTTTTTCACATCAATAAAAGGTTGATCTAACTTCTTCTACCCCACTGCAAATTTTCATCTATTACAGTTTCAATCTCACTATGTTTCTCTGTTAGACATTAATCTTTGTCCCATTATCTCTATCAAAATGGTTAGATAGCCCTTAGACATCTATGAAACTCATAACTGCTTTATTCCAACCTGTTTCAACTATCATTTTATTGTGACTGTCTCCACTGTCACCTCATTTCTGCTACTAGTTCAGAAATACAGCTAAACAAAGATATGAAAAGCCTTCATGATAAAAGAATCTTTCAAACCTATGTCATTTCTATTTCTATGAAAATACATTACACAGGTATGCAGATGAAGATCTATTTCACATCAGAAGTCAGAGACTTTGCTCTGTTATGCTCAAAACAGAGACAATGAAACTGAATAAAACTGTATATTAAAAAAACCCCTATTTCTAATTGTTTCTTGTAGAAAAGTTAAAATTGCACCAGAGTGAAAGAGAAGTCACTTACCCATAAGTATGATACCCCTGCATATTCTTATTTGTGGGTATAGTGGAATGACTCACATTCCTGGTGCTGTTGACCTTTGGTGACTGCCTGGAAAAGCAGTGCTGTTGAGACTACATGAGCATCCCCTGGCGACACTGGATGAGCACAAATGTGATCCCAAATAGCTTCTCTTTTTTTTTTTTTTTTTTTATTTATGCCTAACCTCATATGACATGCAGATCTCCATGGCAGAGGGGGAAGAGGTACCAGTGAGCTCTTCACTGTAGAAACCAGCTCCAAACTTTTATTTCTATTATATTCGTGCTTGCAAGGCAGAAAACAGCGTAACGTATTTCACATTGTGACTACATTTGCTCCCTGCCCCCCCCCCTTTTTTTTTTTTTTTATCCAAAATACTTCTTTTTTTTTTTTTTTTTTTTTTCATTTATGCCTAACCTCATATGACATGCAGATCTCCATGGCAGAGGGGGAAGAGGTACCAGTGAGCTCTTCACTGTAGAAACCAGCTCCAAACTTTTATTTCTATTATATTCGTGCTTGCAGGCATAAGGAAACAGAAAAGAGGTTTTTGCAAATACCATATCCTGGTAACACCTGGTAAGGAGCTTCACACAGACACATGCTAGCAGGAAGATGGTATCTAGCATCTAACAAACTAGCAGAACAAATATGCCAGGAGCTGCCACACAGCCTATCCCATTGAGGCCAGGTACCAAGGGCAGGCATTGCTGTCACCACTTTAAAGTGTTTCTGCAGCAGCAGGACAACCTCAGAAAGTGATTGCAGCCAAACAGTTAGGGGCAAAAGGCTTACCCTTCCCCCAATATAATGGTCTTCAGGCTGGACAGTGGTACATATATACCTCTGCAGTAATGGAAGAACATCTTAAGGACAGAGAAAACAAAAGTCCCTCAAAATGTTTCAAAGACAAAGGATCTGGTAAAATATCATTATACCCAGCAGTGCTGGAGAACAGAAGAGGAATGTAAACTCCAGGAAGCAAAAATAAAATACACTGATTCAAGTCTATCTCTTTTATTCTCTCTTTCTCATCTTTCAGAGTTCTCTGGTTAATGAAACATACAGAGAGAGCTAAAGGCTGTCTCAGTCCTGAAGTCTAGCTACACAATGGCACAGAAATTAAGTAAAGGTTCATCGTAAATCTACTCAAGCAACCTGAACAATAACATTGTTCACTACTGATAAATGTGACTTAAGAAGGCTGGTAAAACTGAACACAGAGCACAGTTCTTTGCAAGTAGAATGACTCAAGAGCCAAAAAGCAATTGGGATAGTTGGGAACTATAGAGACCATGTGTGAAAGGCTCTGTCTGCAGGACTTGGGTTCAGCTGGTCATACAGCACTGCATTTCTCAGAAGCCCCTACAGCTCACTCAGCAGCACAAAAAGACTTTCATTTCACAAGTGGGGATATGTGGAGACCACTTCAGAGATGAACCATGTTCTTCCCACAAGCGCAAAAATAATTTATACAAAATGCATGAAAATTAGTTGAGGTACAATACCCTCTTTTACCAAAAGTCTTAATACAAGTGTCATGGCAAAACAGGTAGCAGTGACAGAGGAAAATATTAGGAACAAGAAGGAAGAAGGGCAGGCAGAATAGCTATTTTTGCTGTTCTTAGGTTTGGTTATGCAAAACTACAGATAATTTTTTTTTCTTCAAATTCAACAGTGAATGCTGGAAACAGCTAGAAATAAAAATACCAGAGCCTCCTCGAGGAACAAAAAGTATAATAAAATTATGAAGAAAAAGACTAGTAAACATTGTGTGAGAGGAACAGCCTAATGATGGAAACACAGATGAGAAGGTAGGCTTGGAGCAGATTAAAAGGAGACCAACTAGAACGAAAATGTGAAAATAAAAGGCAGCTAAATTAAATACCAATCACATGCTACCTTGCACATGGAGATGAAAGAGAAAACTTAGTAGGGAAAAAAAAAAAAAGAAGCCTAAAACAATACAAAAATGAGGTAAGACCAAAGGGTCAGTCTGTTAATCATGAACTGAGAGCAATGATGAGCAGTGGACAAGGAAAAGGGGGGCATACATTGGAATATTAGCAAAGGAAGCAATGTCATGTCGTCTTCTCTATTTCACTATTACACGCTGTGCTGTACATTTTGTAGACTCTCCACATAGCTGCAGTACTTCAGGTATAGGATCCATTAACCAACACAGTTCAAATACATGTGTTTTTAAACATGTTCTCACATCACAAAGGTGAGAGAAAAGACTATCCTGGCATCCAGGCCCATAAAGCATCAAAATAACATGAGGGGAAGTTATGACAACTGTTTTGACAGCCATAACTTCCTTCTGCACACAAACAGGTTTGTTGCTTCTGACAACCCAAAACACAGCACCACTTACCAACACCCTATAGCATCTGGATATAGTCCCACAGAGCTATGTGTGGGCTCTTCAGAAATGAGCCTATTGGACCTACTCTGAGTCACATAGTATGGACTAACACATGTATAGAAGTCTGTAATGGTAAAACAAAAACTGAGTAAACTAGGGTTGACTCAACCATAGTATGTTGAGATGTTTTCCTTTGCACTTGAAACCATTGTACTCATAATCCTGCTGGCATGATCACAGCATATACAGCACCAAGCACCTCACTTGCCACATATCTTTTCAAACAATTGATAAGGCAGTCACCAGATGGAAAAATTATTATGTGGTTGTTTATACCATATCCTGTTGACTGTTGGTTTTAACTACATTTACAAAACCAGCACATACACATAACAGACGGGAAAATAATGATTCTTTTTAAAAGCCCACATTTTATTGCAGTAATGGAAAGGCAGATGCAGAGATTTATTGTATATTTGAGTAATACTTCAAGGTACTCACCTTGATCTCTTTCATGCCATGTCCGACTCCCCGCAGCTGGTGAATTTGGAGAAGGATAAAAGTCTCCTGTCGGGCTTGGCTCCATATTTTCATCTATGGAGATAGTTTTGGGTCTTTTGCTGTTGAAGTAATGTGAGATTTGGCAGTGAATATGATACACAGCTAGTAGTGGTATATAAACTGTTTGGATTTCAACAAATATTTCAATATAAATTAATTCAGGCATACAAAGCACAAAAAAAAAGTGGATGCTAGAGCTTACATTAATTCACATAGATGATGTTATTTAATAATATGTAATGCAGGTATGCGCTTGCATTTTTCACATGATCTAATATTTCAGACATGGCATGAATGGGTAACGTATACAAGCCTACCAGCATTTGGCTGAACAACCAAGAAACCAGTTCCTGTTACTTATCAAAGAAAGGTTGTGTCATGAGAGTGTTAAACACTATGCAGAAACCATGAAAGCAAAACAAAGCACTGGAAAAGTACTACTAGTAAAGTCAAGGTAAACCAGGAACATTTCTGAACATTTAATAAGGAAAAAATGTAGTTTACTATATTTCACCAGGTCAAAACCATAAGCTTTTCACAGAGGTCTAACCTGAAACAAAGACTTTTCATTTGAGACTATTTTAATTAAAAACAACAAAAGACCCATATTTCAAGTTTTATA